GGAGGCCGCAGGCGGGGGGCAGGCCTGAGGACGCCAGGCCCACCGTGAGAAACGTCTAAGCCGACGCCCCTACCACAGGCCTCCCGTGTGCCAGCTCAGTACAAGACGGTCACGTCACCACTGCCAACTTTTAGTGGCGCACCAGAATCCAGACTGTGCAAAGGAGGTTCTGTCCCAAGACGTGAAAGATAAAAATAAACCTCCGTGACAGAAAAGAGGAAACCCATTATGGAAGTTTCTAAGATGGCAAGGATTTCATTAATTAGCAAGACAGCTGTGAACCCAAAAGGCGAGAGCTCTTAAAAATGCCTTTACAACACAGTATTAATGGAAAAGAAGCAGGCATACAATTAGGAAAAAGAACTCATTCTATCAGCTCAGTGAGTCGTCATTCTCCTTCATGGTCCTTGGGGAAAGGAAGGACAGGCCAGCTGACAGGACCCGGGGGAAACGCTCGGGGGCAATCGGGGCCGCAGGAGGCCGAAGGGCAGTGGCAGGCTTCGGTCACTAAAGAGAGGGCACGGGCCTCTCGGTGTCCACGCTGGCTTCCGGATGAGACCGTGACCAAACCCGGCTGCCCTCCCCGTGCTATGCTTCGTTCTTCCTTTCAATTTCAAGACTCTTATCCCACCAGGCTCTGCTCCAGGCCTGCTCTGCCCCTGCCGACGGGCAGAGTCCTTGACTGCCTCCTCCCCTCCCAGTGCCAAGGCAGGGGCTGGTACCCAAGCCGAGACTGCACTCAACTGGAGGAGCCCGGGAGACTGCAGAGCAGGCGGCATAGTACTGCCTCCCCCATTGCAAACCACAGCCACTGTGTATCTGCAGCAGAGATGAACAAAGGTGGGGAACCGGGTGTTATCAGCAGGCATCGGGCTTTACCTGGCAACGTCAGATGTTTCTGTTCCCGGGTTTCTGTTAGCAGGAACTTGGGCCTACACATTCCCTGTGCACTGGCCCCTCTCAGATGCTAAGTGGGAACTGCTGAGCCCAGGTCACTGGACTCTGGTGAAGCCGTACAAAGACACCAGGGCCCAGTAATGGCAGGCTGGCTTCTCCACTGTGCGTGACGGCTCTGCAGGTGTGGCATGTTCCTCTCACCTGCCTCATGTATGCAGGAACATGGAAGTAGCGCCAGGCATGGCTGAGACCCAGCTCAGGCGTGCTGAGGACAGATGACTCAAACGGGCCCCGAACCTTCCCCCTTGAATTGACTCCTAAAATAGCATTCTAGCGGCCTTGCCTCAAAGCTTTAACAGAACTCCCAAGCTAAACCTGCAGATCTGCGTGCTACCTGGTAAACCACACTAAACCACGTGGGCGAACGGTTTCCAAGTGAATTGCACTTTTCGCTGCCAAGCCGACAATCGTAACTACTGTTAGAATGACTTCTCTAAAGTAATTCAGCACAAAAACGAAGGGGGCTCCTGCTTCTCTACTGGCGAGGGCAATGCCCAGCTCGACCCTCAAACATTCGTCTGCAGCAGGTACCCCAGACGACCGCCCTGCGTGGGAGGGGGCTGGCCACCGCCCGCACGCAGTCAGGAGGCAGCAGGCGGTGAGGCCTACCTTAATAGCCAGGTCGCAGTGCTCGCTGGCCGTGGTGAGCTGCTCGATGTGCCGGTCCACCTCGGCCACGGAGAGGCTGCAGCTGCTCTTCTTCCTGCAGCACACGACGTGCTCCAGCCCCGTCAGCACCCGCTGCAGCTCCGAGTTCAGGTCACTGCAGGTATCTGCGAGCACACGAGGACAGACTGGGTCAGGCGGCCAGGTGGGTGGGTGCCGGTGCGGCTCAGCTCACGAGGGACCCACCCAGGTAAAAGGCACAACCACGGAGCTGACACCTCACGTGCAGCGCCCACGGCCTAATCCCACAGGCTGCCGGCGTGGCCTCTGGAGCCTGCTGTCCTCATGAAGCCCCTTTCAAAGGAGTTTCAGATCGTGGCCATTTTCTAGAGCCGCACCACCCTGAATTCTGTTCTAGGTCAGCCAAGGGCAGCCACATCTTCACTTCCTTTTATCTTTTTCTTTAGAGGTTTTTGCTTTAGGGCATGTGCACTCGCCAGAGAGACAGAGAGACAGAAAGCGAGAAATCACCCCCCGGGGGATGGCCACGCCACAGTTCCTTCTCTTCAGAGTTTGTGAATGCACGTACGTGCATCTGGCGTGAGTTTTAGGTCACTGGGTTTGGGACTCGAATCACAGTCAACTACGTGGAAGTTCAGTGATATAACCATTTTGCCATCTGCTGGTCCCACAAATCTTGAGTTTCTTTAGTGAAAACAAAGAAGTTTTGCCCCACCCGAGGCTGACAAAGCCTCTGGTCAGCATTCAAGCTCAGCCATTTGGATAAGTACCATCTCCAGTGCCGTAGCTAAGAAGGTCCCGTGGCTGAAACAAAGAATGAAGTACCTCCTATGAGCAGATGCTAGGCGTGTCCAGAGAGACACGGTGCACAGAGTTCTGGCCCCAGAGAGCTTAAAATCACAACTGCCCTGGTACCCACATAACCAACCTGTCGTTAAACCTGCCCTTTCCCAGGAAAAAAAATAACAAACTGCTCTAGTATTGTATAGATGCCTTACAACTAATTCTCTCTTTTTTCTTTTTTTTTTAAGGAAGGGCCTCGCTATGTTGCAATCTTCCTGCATCACCTCCTGAGAGCTGAGACTATAGGCAGGTGGCACCCCACTTTAGGGTGAGCCTGCAGTGGAGCTGGGCCTCCCAGGTGGCCTCGGCCATGGTCTTACCAGCACTTGCCACTGTGGCTGGGCCTTGTAAACAATTCTAACAATTCGATTTTGACTTAAAAATCTGGGTTACTATTAACTGCTGGACTTCTAGGGCCTGGTCAGGGGAGGAAATTCACTGTAATCATTAATTGACCTATATATATATCCTTTTATTTTTCAGTTTCTGCCAGGGGGCACATGTGTTCATCCAAGAGAGACACACACATACATACATACATAAATACACAGAGAGAGAGAGAGAGAGAGAGAGAGAGAGAGAGAATCTACTATGAGGCATGGTCACACTGCAGTTCTTTCTCCCTTCATCTGGGATTTGGGGCATGCATGTACAGTGCCTGGAATGTTTTTCAAGCTGCTGGGTCTGGGACTTGAACCACATAGTCAGCCATATGGGATCCAATGACCCTGACCACCATACCATGGGTTGGCGTGAGCTAGATAAATCTTAGAAGATAACTTCGTCGGTAGAAACATCCCCTCAAAGTCAAATACAATTTATTTTTTTAAGGTTTTTGCCTTAGGGTGCATGCACTCTCTGGAGACAGAGAGAAACACTGAGAGGGAAAGTGAGAAATCACCCCCGAGAGGCTACGCCCGTGACACAATCCCTTCTTCTCCAGGGATTTTGGGCACACATGCACATATGCCTGGTGTGATTTTCAAACTGCTGGGTCTGGGATTTCAAGGGCATTAGGCCATGTGGGAGTAAAGCCACCTTAGCCACCTGCTGGCATCGAATGCACATTTCTTAACCTGCTGTTCTGGATCCTGCTTAGTGCCATATTGTGTAACTACCACGACACAGAAGGCAGGCGCTGACAGAGGTGCTGTCCCAGGTACACCCACACCCACCCAGCCTGACGTCGACAGGACAGATCACCATCTGCCTTCTTCGTTGCTCTTTTTTTTTTTTTTTTGAGAGGTTTTTGCTATAAGGCTCGTGCACTCGCAAGACAGACACAGAGAGACAGAGAGACAGAAAGCGAGAAATCAGCTCCCGGGGGGATGGCCACGCCACAATCCCTTCTCCTCTGTTCTCCTCTCAAGATCTTGGGCACGCATGCACATGTGGCCGGCGTGAGTTTTAAGCCACTGGGTCCAGGATACGAACCGCGGTTGACTACATGGGAGTCCAGCGACATAGCCATTATGCTAACTGCTGGTCCCCCTTCTTCGTTACTCTTCATTTTCATCATGTATTTCATACATTAAAATAGCCAATTGTTTTCAGTACTTGTTGCCTTCTAGAGAGTCTGGAAAGCTCTCAGTCCTTAGGACAGGACTCCTCAGGAGAGTTTAGCCATCCTCACCTGGCTAGAGATCTCTGTGTACAGAGGAGACCAGTCTGGAGCTCCTACTCCAAGCTACTACACAGTTATCCGAACTGCTCCTCCAACCTGCTCCTGATGGCGCCCATCTCCGGCAATGGCACCACCAACCTACCAGTTACTCAGTCGACTCTGAGGCCACCTTGATGCTCTTTTGCCTCATATTCTAAATGGAATCCATCTTGTGGCCACAGCCTCTAAAACTCATGCCCAAACTGACCTCCTCTTACCATCACTGCTGATACCATGTTGGATCAAGGCAACAACAAGTCTCACCTGGACTGTAACCATGTCCTCCCACCACCCTCCAAACTGGGGGCAAAGTGAGCTCCTTAAAGACATGAATTAGGGGCCAGAAAGTGGCAGGAGGTAACGCTCCATGTGGCCAACCTCAGTTTAAATCTAGGACTGGTAGCTTGAAAGTTATGCTGGGTGTCTCTGCCAAAATTCCAAGAAAATGAAGGAGAAAGGATTTTGGCATGGCCATCCTCCCAGGGGGTGATTTCTCACTTTCCCTCTCTGTCTTTGTGCCCTATTGGAATCTGAATAACACATGTGGCTTCCTTGGAAAGATACTGCTTTGCAGTATAGGTAGCTAGGATATTTGTATGTTAATGCTTTCATTGCTGTACAAGTGAAGCTCGCAAATGGAAACACCATACGCGCGCACACACGCACGCACACACACACACACACATATATATGTGTACATACACACATATGTGTGTACATACACAGACACACACACAGACACACACACAGACACACACACACACACACACACACACACCTCTTTATTTTTTGGAGAGATTAGTTGACCACGTCACGTCACTGTATATCAACACTTGGGTTCAAGCCAGACCACATGTGCACATACATGTATTGTCTCAGCAGCACATTTTCTAGGTTCTACTTTCCCGTGTTCCAGACTCAGCCCTGAGTACAAGAGGGCAGGAGCTCACTACCCACTCAGGACAGAGAGTCCAGTGAGGAGTGGCCCTCGATGACCATAACGCCAGTCTCTGAGTGTTCCTGTGCCTCAGGGCATGGCCTGGTCCTCTGAGCACATCATTCAGTGCTTCTGTGTGGATTAGTGGAAAGGGGCTCCACTCAGCCACATCGTACTGGGCTCCCTGGCACAGGTCCTGATGCAGTGACCATCCTGGTTGTGTCTGCTGAGGGCTCTCAGCAGGACGCAGCGGGCACCTGGGCGGCTTCCTGCAGATGTGAGGGTCCAGGGAGCAGGAGGGCCACAGGCCGACCACTATCTCTAATTCCTTCGTACTTGCCGAGCCCTGCCCTCAGCTAGGGGCAGAGTACAAAGACGACTAAGAAACTGCCCCCAACTCTGAGAGGCTCACATTGTGTGGGGCAGCACCATAGCTCCTGCTCCCAAAGGCCCACCAACACACTCAGAAAGAAACTTTAGCGAGGGACCAGCAGACGGCAGAATGGTTATGTTGCTGGACTCTCACATAGTTGACCACGATTTGGGTCCCAGACATGGCAACTTAAAACTCATGGAACATGTGTGTACGCGTGCCCAAGATCCTGAGAAGAGAATGAAGGAAGAAGGGATTGCAGCAGTGTCTTCCCCCCGGGGAGTGATTTCTCACTTTCTTTCTGTATCTCTGGTGAGCGCACACATTCTATAGCAAAAATCTCTCTCTTTTTCTGGTTCTTGAAGAGCTTTTTGCTGTAAGGTGTGTGCACTCACCAGAAAGATACAGACAGAGAGACAGAAAGCAAGAAATCACCCCCCAGGGGGGATGGTCACACCGCAATCCCTTCTCCTCCATTCTCCTCTCAGGATCTTGGGCACGCATGCACACACACCTGGTGTGAGTTTAAGTTACCAGGTCCAGGACTCAAACCATGATCGACTACATGGGAGTCAAGTGACATAGCCATCATGCCAGATGCTAGTCTTGCAAAAATCTCTCTGGAAAAAAAAAGCGTACTTTAGGAGAGCTAATGGGGCGTGTATATATCACATGATACTGTCCCAAGGACAGGATGGAGGAGGAGTCCTAATGCCAAGGAGTAGAAAGGTCTGTTAATAATTGTGGGCGTGACTCACCCATCCCAAGGATACTATCCCAGGGACGGGATGTAGGAAGAGTCCTGTAATCAACTGGGGCAAGATGATCTATTAATATTTGTGGGTGTGACTCACCCCAGGCCCTCTGGAAGGGATTTGGGGAATAGGGAAAAGCAGTCAGACTTCTGTCCTCAGAACCACAAAAAAAAGTAAATCAGAAGAACCTAAATCATTAAATATCATTATTTATATCAAACATTAATGGAATAAAGACTCCCCAAAAGAAAAATGTCAGAATGAATTTTAAAAGACCCACACAACAATGAAGATGGTGGCCAGATTGTGGCATGGCGGTAACGCAACTGGAGCCACTTGGGAGAGGCCCTGGGTCAGGTCCCAGAACCTCCCTGAACCTGCCGGTACGTGTGCTGAGGCCTGGGCTGGACTGTGGTGTGGAGAACTGTGGGGGTGCCTGTGTGTATGCATTTCTCTCTCTCTCTAAAGAAACAAACTTAAAAAAAAAAAAAGGCTGGGTATTATTCAGAAATGAGCGAGCGAATGAAACCTGGAAATAACAGAAATACAGAGAAACTGGAACCCTTGTGGATTGC